CAGAACTAAAACCAGGACTAAAATGAGGACTAACGCGAAACATTGTCAAACATAAAACGGCTCCGTGACGCAGAAAAGTTTGGGGACCACTGATACAGAACATTTAAACGTGGAAATCCAAACTCCGGGCCTTAACTTACGTAACTTAAACGTGTCTTCGAATAACAAACCCATATAAGCCGACTAAGACTTAACTTTCACTCGGGTTTATCTGCTCGGTGAGAAACTCCAGAGGTCCATAAACAGGCGCCTTTAAAACTCAAATAAACACTGGAATATGGTCGGTGCACACGTGTGTCGACTCCCCTCGCGCACACAGAGGCGGCTGTACGGACTTCACGTGTTTTCCACTGTTTTTCTGTCTCTGAATGAAGCGGTTTTGGTGTAAATTTGATGTTTTTCGGAAGCGCCGGTGACAGAAATTTGGTTTTAAAGGTTATTTAATTCGCAAAATGGACTCTTGTGAGGTTTAAGTCGCGTTAAAATGTTGTTACCGCCTCAAAAACTGATCTGGAGTTTTGTTTTGTTTCATTTATTAGTCCTGGTTTAGTCCTTTTAGTCTAGATGCAGACCTGGTTTAGTCCTGCGTGTTTAGTCTTGGTTTGGGTCTGTGTAAGTCCTGGTTTAGTTCTACTTCCTGCGTGGTTTAGTTTTGGTTTTCAGTTTTGGTTTGATCCTCATTAAGTGCTTTAAGTCCTTTTGTTCAATAATATAATAATAATTTTTTGAGCTCTCCTAGTCCTGGTCTAGTCCTGGTCTAGTCCTGGTCTTGTCTTGGTCTAGTCCTGGTCTAGTCCTGGTCTAGTCCTGGTCTAGTCCTGGTCTAGTCTGGTCTAGTCCTGGTCTGGTCTGTCTGTCTGTCTGGTCTAGTCCTGGTCTAGTCTGGTCTAGTCCTGTCTTGTCTTGGTCTAGTCCTGGTCTAGTCCTGGTCTAGTCCTGGTCTTGTCTTGGTCTAGTCCTGGTCTAGTCCTGGTCTTGTCTTGGTCTAGTCCTGGTCTAGTCCTGGTCTTGTCTTGGTCTAGTCCTGGTCTAGTGCTGATCTAGTGCTGGTGTAGTCCTGGTATAGTCCTGGTCTAGTTCTGGTCTAGTGCTGATGTAGTCCTGGCCTAATTCTGGTCTAGTACTGGTCTAGTCCTGGTCCAATCCTGGTCTAATGCTGGTTTAGTCCTGGTGTAGCCCTGGTCTGGTCATGGTCTAGTCCTGGTCTGATCCTGATCTAATCCTGGTCTAGTCCTGGTCTGGTCCTGGTCTGATCCTGGTCTAATCCTGGTCTAATCTTGGTCTAGTCCTGGTCTAGTCCTGGTTTAGTACTGGTCTAGTCTTGGTCTAGTGCAGATGTAAGTGCTGGTGTAGTCCTGGTGTAGTCCTGGTCTAATCCTAGTCTAGTCCTGGTCTAATCCTGGTCTAGCCCTGGCCTATCCCTGGTTTAATCCTGGTCTGGTCCTGGTCTAGTCCTGGTGTAGTCCTGGTCTAGTTCTTCTCTCATATTTTGAATGTTAAATATGCACTGTGTAACTTGTCCTGCTTGTCTCCATGGAGATGTTACTGAATGTTCCATGGTATGACTTTAAAATACAGTAATTCCTTCTGTGAACACGGACGCCTCTCCACAGATCTGACCTGTAATGTAGCGTAGTGCTGTAACCTGATTATCCCTCTTGTTATAGTGTTTATGATGACAGACTTAAGTCCCAGTTTGGTCTCTGGTCCTGGTCAGGTCCTGGTCAGGGTCCTGGTCAGGTCCTGGTCTGGTCCTGGTCAGGTCCTGGTCAGGTCCTGGTCAGTCCTGGTCTGGTCTGTCAGGTCTGGTCAGGTCCTGGTCAGGTTCTGGTCCTGGTCATCTGGTCTGGTCTGGTCCGGTCCTGGTCAGGTCCTGTCTGGTCCTGGTCAGGTCCTGGTCAGGTCCTGGTCTGGTCTGGTCCTGGTCAGGTCCTGGTCTGGTCTGGTCCTGGTCAGGTCCTCAGGGTCCTGGTCAGGTCTGGTCCTGGTCAGTCCTGGTCAGGGTCCTGGTCAGGTCCTGGTCCTGGTCATCCTGGTCTGGTCCTGGTCAGTCCTGGTCCTGGTCAGGTCCTGGTCAGGTCCTGGTCAGGTCCTGGTCAGGTCCTGGTCCTGGTCAGGTCCTGGTCAGGTCCTGGTCAGGTCCTGGTCCTGGTCCTGGTCAGGTCCTGGTCAGGTCCTGGTCAGGGTCCTGGTCTGGTCCTGGTCAGGTCCTGGTCTGGTCCTGGTCAGGTCCTGGTCAGGTCCTGGTCAGGTCCTGGTCAGGTCTGGTCTGTCCTGGTTGGTCAGGTCCTGGTCTGGTCCTGGTCAGGTCCTGGTCAGGTCCTGGTCAGGTCCTGGTCAGGGTCCTGGTCAGGTCCTGGTCTGGTCCTGGTCAGGTCCTGGTCAGGTCCTGGTCTGGTCCTGGTCAGGTCCTGGTCAGGTCCTGGTCTGGTCCTGGTCAGGTCCTGGTCAGGTCCTGGTCTGGTCCTGGTCAGGTCCTGGTCAGGTCCTGGTCTGGTCTGGTCCTGGTCCTGGTCTGGTCCTGGTCAGGTCCTGGTGGTCTGGTCCTGGTCAGGTCCTGGTCTGGTCCTGGTCAGGTCCTGGTCTGGTCCTGGTCAGGTCCTGGTCCTGGTCCTGGTCAGGTCCTGGTCCTGGTCCTGGTCTGGTCCTGGTCAGGTCCTGGTCAGGTCCTGGTCAGGTCCTGGTCTGGTCCTGGTCAGGTCCTGGTCAGGGTCCTGGTCAGGTCCTGGTCTGGTCCTGGTCTGGTCCTGGTCAGGTCCTGGTCTGGTCCTGGTCAGGTCCTGGTCTGGTCCTGGTCAGGTCCTGGTCAGGTCCTGGTCCTGGTCAGGTCCTGGTCTGGTCCTGGTCTGGTCCTGGTCAGGTCCTGGTTGGTTGTGGCCGTTTAAATCTCTGTGTTTGTGAGTCTCTCTGGTTGTTTTTTGGGTCAGAGTTAAAAATGGGTCGAGTTCCAGTGACACAGAGGAACAATGGAGCGTAGTGAGACCGATTTAGACCTGGAACCGGCCTCCGAAGAGCCGAGCGGAGCGGAAAAACACGGAAAAAATAACGCGAGGGTGATATTAACAATCAGTCAAGTCTTAGTCAACCAAAATGTGAGTTATTTAGAGATTTTCATGGACGATACGGATGGTTTAGAATCCAGAGAAACCGATAACTGATCAAGTCTGCCGATCTTTTTTGGGCCAATACTGTATGTAGGGCTGATTTTTCTAATTATGTCATTTATTTTAAATTTACTACAAACTATCCTCCAAGCCCTTTTTACCACAAATCTTCAGGAGAAATGTGTAGTAACATTTTGGGCAGTTTTCTCTTCGTATTAAAGTGTTAAAATAAAGCTTCGTGTGTATTTTTTTAGGCAGCAGATTGACCAAAGCTAAATATCGGCCTGTGCTGGAGATTTAAAGCTGATTGTAAATTCGCTATAAAGCACAAATATCGGCATGACATATCGGCCAGCCTTACACTGCAATAAAGCTTGGCCACACTTTAAGATATAAACAGTTAAATCTATCAGAAAATGACTTAATGCAGCAAGATCATTTTACTTGACATAGTTATCTTAAAATAAACAACCTTTAGACCAGAATTAAACATCTCAGAACTAGTAAGGAGATAATAAATCTGAAAACAACATGAATAACCCAATATAAGTTTTAAAATCTTGGCCAGATCAGAGAAATTTGCAGCGTATCAGCTGACAAATAATTTTATTTAGATCAGACGTGTTCACACTTTTTCATCATGTGAGCTACTTACAAAATGACCAAGTCAAAATGATCGACCTAATACAAAGCCAAACAAACTGCACTGAAACGCTCTGTCCCTTTTTTGGACCCTCCCCCACAGTTTGAGAACCTCTTCTTTAAGAGAACTTCCTCTGGCACTTTACACAAAACTGTGAAAAAGTGAAGGAAGATTTTTAAACCTGTTTTTTAAAGTTCCAAACTGGAGTTTCATTCTTTTCTGGTTTTGCAGTGATATTTACCAGCCTCTGCACGTTTACCAAACCAAACGCACATCGTGACAAACACAGATGCATTTGTCACTTTTGTTAGACAAACTTCAGCCAAATGTGGCAGTAGGTCTGTTCTGTAGATCCGCTCTATGCTGTAGACCTGCTTTGTGCCAACACTGGAACACAAATTTAGACTGGTTTTTGCTTCCCGTTTGGTCTTGTTCTTCTAATCAGCCGCACTGTGGGAGGGGCTTGTGTTGGCTGTACGCAGGAAGGAGCGAGAGCGTGAAAAGGCGAGGGGCGGCGTGCTGACGTGAGGCAGATGGACAGGTAGGATGTTTAGGAAGTTGAACCTGCCCTGTGACGCACGCTGGTACACGAGGGCACACGCTGTCGCAGACGAGCCGTGCATAGGGAGCGTGTGTGTTTGTGATGTGGCGTAGAGTCTCCGCGGGTTTCAAATGAGCGCACAGGCTGCACTGAGACGCCCCACACGCTCCTGCACCCGCTACAAGTTTATTACCAACAGCAGCGGCCGGAATCAAATATGATCACACTTGTTGAGTGTCAGACCTCGAGTGAGAGACAAGACCGAGTCCAAACGCGATCGAGTCTGAGACGAGACACGACGATCTACCCACACGACCTTGGCGATCGACTGGTAGATCGCGATCGACGTATTGAGCACCACTGATTTAGATAATAACATGATACAAAACTGTACACTACAACTTCACAAACCTGATGTGATGTGCAGTAGTTTGATTAGTGGGATGTGGCGCTCTGAAGGGGGAGTGACTTAACGTGGAGAGCAAGAAGAGCAGGAACTCAGAGCGACAAAACAAAACTCAAACTGGAAACCTGTAAATCGATCTGTGGTATTGTCAAAAAAAAAACATTGAAACCAAAAGTAGTACTGAAAGTAGATCGGTCTTGACTCTTTTGCAGGTGTTTTCTGAGGACCTGATTGAAGACAGATGTGGCTGTAGTCATGCGGTGCTCGGGGCTGGGCGCAGTGACCACGTTCGGCCTGATGGCGGCGCTGTGCTGCTCCCAGTTTGTGTCCCAACCGGAGATAAAAACAGAAGACTGCACCAGGAAAGAGCACCCCGTAGTCCCGTATCGAGGTACTCACTACTACAACGCACCACTGCAGGATCTGTATTATTTAACGTTTATTTACAGGTGCATTGTGTAACTTTTTGTTTGGGGGTCTGTCACCTGCTTGTTTCCATGGAGATGTCATTGCTCTGCCCTGAATGTTCCGCAGTGTGACATTAAACAGCTCTATTGTGCATTTATTCAATTACAGGTGGCTCAAAAATACCTCGAAAAACAAACATTCTGACTGTGAGCGGGGTCGCCTCTCCACAGATCTGACCTGTAACTGTAACTACAAAGCAATAACTTCATCTCGGAGAACAGCTTTGACAGAGCCTCCACCAGAAAAGTTACACAATGCACCTTTAAACTGTTTTTTTATTGATAAGATTTATTTAAGAATTTGTCTAGTTTCCGTACATAGCTGTTTGTTAAAAAAACATTTCTGACTGTAAAAATATACATCAAAAGTATTTAACTTTCTATTATATTGCCATAATAAAATACATTTATGTAATTCTTTAGATTAATATAAATACTTGGAATATTTTTGTATTTATTACCTTTTTTTATTAATTTGTTTTTGTTTGTTTTTTCAGTTTTGCGATTGTGGATGTCTGAATTTTCTCATCCTGGAGCGAAGGATTTTTCTCAGTTAGCCGTGGATCTGAACAGAGGCCAGATCATTGTAGGAGCGAGGTAAGGACTTAAAAAACATGTAAATAAAAACAGTAAATAAAATACAAAAAACACAATATGTAATGTGTTTTTAGTCCGTGTTATTGCTTTACAGATTTTTTTTTTCCACTTTTGTCTTTTTCAGAAACTTTCTCTTTAGACTACATTTGACCAACATTTCACTAATACAGGTAACAGTATTTATCATATATTAATTGGATTTTTAGAATAAAATAAAAATAAATGTCTCTCTTGTTTATGTATTTTGATTGTATTAATTTGTATTTTTTTAGGCAGCAGAGTGGGCCCCAGATGAAGACACCAAACAGTCCTGTCAGAGTAAAGGCAAAACAGAGGTAATTGCGCTTTCATTGTAATTTTTTTTTTGTTTTGTTTTGTTTTGCTTTTTTCCAAGCAAAGCAATAACATCTCCATGGAGGCAAATAAGTCATGGAAAAAGTTAGAAAGTTACATATTGTACTGAAAAAAAAACACAAAAAACCTCCTAACTTTCTAATGAAACCGTCTCCTTTTCATTTTCAGGACGAATGCCAAAACTACGTGCGAGTGTTACTGACCAGTGGATCCACGCTCTTCACCTGCGGCACCAACGCCTTCACACCTGTCTGCATGACCCGACAGGTGAGGAAAGACAAAACATCCTGCAGAAGTATTAAATAATAGGTTCTGCGAGGCTTGAATAGACACATTTGGCAAACAGCAAAGGCTGCAGTTTTCCACAAGCCTCAAAATCTCCTGTCTCCTTCTGCATAAAAACGGCAAACCCTGATAAGATCTTGTTTAAAGATGGTAAAGTTCTACTTTAGTCTTAGTTCAGTCCTGATTTGGTGCCAGTTTAGACGTGGGTTGATTTGGTTTTAGTCCTGGTTCAGTCTCGCTTTGCACTAAACCTGGAACTAAACTTGAACTAGATCAGGACTTGAACTGGACTTCATGTCTCCACCAGGACCAAACAAGTCCTATTTTATGGTGCTTTTACACCGACAGCAGTTGGTGCACCAAATGTTCCATTCGAACCAGAAGCTCTTAGTTCAGTTTGTTTTCGTTGGTGTGAAAGCTTCAATCGCACTTGGATCTGCACTAAATCAAGAGAACCAGGACCTCAAAAAAGAGATGGTCTCGGTCCGTGTGACTCCGCACCAAATGCCAAACTCTGGTACGGTCCCACTGGTGAGAACGCCAACTTGGATCCAAACATAGACAGGTCCAAACATAGACAGTAGGTCCAGACTAAGTATTCGAAATGCATCATGGAAGGGCAGACTCGGACTTCCGAATCTGAGCACGTATCCCGGCGACAGGCCCACACCCTGGTTAAGGGTGTGACGGGACCCAGGGTTGGGTCTGGACACCTGCCCTGCATCTCGCGGTCTGTAGGTTTGTGAGTCTGACCTCCCCTGGCCCGTGGAGCTGACTTCTGGGAAGACAACCGGGCGAGACGGTGCTTCGTGCAGTCAAACCCGCTGTGCAGGAGCCTTGAATATACGTCAATCGGACCAGTTTTATTTAATTTGCAGCTGTGAAAGGACCACACTGGAGTCTAGATACTCCATAATAACTATTTTATTGCCTGATGCGAACCAAATAGTCAAACTAGTGATGTGAAAGCACACCTCAGTTTTGGTTATGTAGGCTACTGGTTAAGAGTACAACATTAGTCAAATTAATAACATGGTTAAAAGCTGTGAAAAGTTGATTTTGTGTGTGTTTTCATAAGACCTGGTTAAGTCTTTGTTTGGTTCTGCTTTAAGTCCTATTTAAACTATTCGATCTTTTCCCTTTTCTGTCCGTCTCCTCAGATTTCAAACATCAGTGAGGTGTTAGACTCCATAAACGGCGTGGCGCGGTGTCCGTACGACCCTCGCCATAACTCCACGGCGATGATCACGGCGAGGGGCGAGCTGTACGCCGCCACCGTCATCGACTTCTCCGGACGAGACCCCGTCGTGTACCGCAGTCTGGGAAACATGCCCCCGCTACGCAGCGCTCAGTACAACTCCAAATGGTTAAACGGTAAATGTGTTTTCTAAAACTTTAAGCCGCGTTTTCTCTTCAAAAACAGACCTGGAGTTGTGTTTTGTTTCATTCACATGTTTGGTCACTGTTTTTGTGTGTTTGTGATGAGGAAAGAACATTAAAACAGATCAGAAAATAGCGTGATATTGGCCTTTAAAATGTATTAAGAAGGTTTCAGAGGCAGTCACTAATTTTATGAAACCAAGAATGTGTGGTCTCGCATCCAGAAGTAATTTTTAATTTTTTTAATTTGACGGTACAAGCTTGAGACTAGAGAATTTAAATTTCTTGTATTTTATTTCTTTGTTGATTTCAAAAACAGTGCCCACATGACTACTGCTGGAACCTTCACTACATCAGACCAGCAACAAGTGTCTAAAAATACAAGGTGTCCCAAAAAAATTTACATCATTTCACAGGCCAATTCTTGCTTAAATAACCTAAAATTTTCACAGAATGTACAGAAACAGATCAAGATTTTATATGTAATATTTTAGTTTTGTTCTGTTTTCAGGTTGAGCCGTTCACTCCCAAAGAGAAGTCATTTTTTTGTTTTGGAATTTGCTCACACGCACTCACCCAAGACTCTGCAACCTTCAACGCAACATTTGGAAAAACTTCACCAGCTCCCAAACAAATCTGGACTTGGTACCAAAAATTTAAAGAGGAAAGCTGTTTATGCAGGACTAAAGGATCTGGTTACGCCAAACCGTCATTCGAGGAATCTGGGTTTCCAAATATGTTCTCCTTACAGACTTCTTGGGGCTTCGCAAAGAGTTTTTCACGAACTTGCTCGACCTTCTCTTCTGACGTTGATGTTGGTACCAGATCCTTTAGTCCTGCATAATCAGCCTTTCTCCGTAAAGTTTTGGTACCAAGTTCAAATTTGTTTGCCAGTTGTTAAAGTTTTTCCAAATTTTGCATTGAAGCTGCCCAGTTTCAAGCGAGTTTGTGTGAGCAGATTCCAAGACACAAAAGTACTTCTCTTTGGGAGTGAACAGCTCAACCTGAAAACAGAACAAAATTAAAACATTACACATAAAATCTTGATCTGTTTTTGATCATTCTGCCAAAATTTGAAGTTATTTCATCAAGAATTGCCAAAATTATTGTCCTGCGAAATTATGTCAAATTTTTTGGGACACCCCGTAAATATAATTGCTCTTTCGCTAAAATTGTTTGGTTTGTTTGGGTGTTTCACCTTTTGGCTCCGCCCCAAATTAAAGTACTGCTCTGTAATTGGTCCCTGGTTAACTGGGCAACCGCAACAACAAAACCAAATAGATTCTTAGGAGTTTGTGGACGCAAAAATATCACAATATCACATGTGTTACTTATTTCAGAAAGTCTTTGTCCAGTCCAGTACGAATATTCTTCTCTTTACTTTATTTAATCCATAACTTATTTTCCAATTTGTCATTTTCTTCCTGCAGAACCAAACTTCGTCTCCGTGTACGAGATCGGCCGTTTCGCGTACTTCTTCTTCCGAGAGACGGCCGTGGAGAACGACTGCGGGAAGATGGTGTTTTCCCGCGTGGCTCGGGTTTGTAAGAATGACGTTGGCGGTCGGTTTCTCCTGGAGGACACCTGGACCACGTTCATGAAAGCCCGACTCAACTGCTCCCGCTCCGGAGAGATCCCCTTTTACTTCAACGAGCTCCAGAGCACCTTCCACCTGCCCGAACAGGACCTGATCTACGGCATCTTCACCACCAACGTGTGAGTGACGCGACTGCACAAACATCAGATAATCTCTAGAAATGCTCAAGCTAAAAAAAAAAGCATTTGTCTCCTTGTTTTACAGAAACAGTTTGTCTGCGTCGGCCATCTGCGCCTTTAACCTCAGCTCCATCACCGCCGCCTTTAACGGACCGTTCCGCTTCCAGGAAAACCCCCGCACCGCCTGGCAACCCACGCCCAACCCCATCCCCAACTTCCAGGTACAAGAGAGAGTTTTGTTTTGTGTGATGAGGAAAGAATCATTTTTCTGTGGTCTCAGAGTCCTGCACAGGTCCATTTTTGGAGATCCGCACTCGCCCAGTACAGCACCAAACCCGCCCGTGATCATATCTAAATTAAATCCGCACCCACCTGGACCCGTTAACATTCCACCCGTTACCTGCCCATGATAAATCCGGGTCAGCCCAGTAGTCCAGGATTAAACCAGGACTAAACCAGGACTAAACCTACGCCGTCTCATTAGCGGATTATAAATATATACATGCTGCAACCGCAGAGCCGATCGCCAGGACTGGACCAGGACTGAACCAGGTCTAAACCAGGAATGAACCAGAACTTAACCAAGTCTAAACCAGGTCTAAACCAGGACTAAACCAAGACTAAACCAGGACTAAACTTGAAGCACAGCCGCCGAGCCGATCTCCTCCTCTGATGGTTTTATGTAATAAAAACACTAAAGTCTCTTTCAGTCTGGTCCATCGTTCTGGAAAAAGACCTGAAATTGTCTCTTGTTTCCAGGGCAACGGACGTCCTGGAGACGTGTCAAGTATTTTTCTCCTGTTCGTCGTTCATTTGATTCTTCTGACCCGCCCGTGTGTAATCACTACCTGCCCGCATACCCGCACGTAAAACTCCAGAACGTTAAAACTCGCTTGTTTCAGTGACTGTTTGCAGGTACCTGCTGGGTCAGATCTGTGGAGAGGCCTGTCCCAATGCAGGTTTTTCAAGGTTCACTTCATAATGGAATTTCATCACAGCAAGTAGCAGATGCTCATGTACATGTTTTCTATTCTGTGACAATTTTACTGTTAAGAGTTGAGGTGCAGGACTGTGCTGTGGTGTCAGGGTGATGGGCAGAGAGGTCGTTGGTGCAGATTGGCAGCCATTATACTGTCGTACTGCCACAGGGCGGCTGCAGTAACGGAAATATCTTACTATTATATTTATCTCATACACTGCTCTGTTTCAGTGCGGCACCTTAGACGAGACCGGCCCTGGACAGAACCTGACGGAGCGCCACCTGCAGGACGCGCAGAGACTGTTTCTGATGAATGACGTGGTTCAGCCGATCACAGTGAACCCCGTGTTGACCCAGGACACAGTGAGACTGTCCTGTCTCTGTGTGGACGTGGTGAAGGGCGCGGGAGAGCGGCTCTACCACGTCATGTACATCGGCACCGGTGAGGAACAAGAACCATCTCACATTTATACATGATGCTTTATGGAAAATGCCGTTGTACCTGCGCTACCTCATCACACCGCCCTCTGGTGGTCATCTGGGATTTATAGAACCATAGACCCTGGAAAAGTCATGGAATATTTAAATTCATTGAGTGTGTTTACATGCACATCAGTATCCCGGTTATTATCCATAGCCCGGTTCTGTCAGTATTCAGGATGCTGTGTTTACATGCTCATATCCCTGTGTACATGATCAAATGTAGTATCCCGGTTTCTTGACATAATCTTACAATTGCACAAATGCAAAATTGAACTTTATTTCATTTAATAAACCAGGAAAAATACAAACAACCATGAGCTCCTGTAGCATAGGACACTTGGGAGGTTCCTAACCAACGGTGAGGAGCTATGATCAAACCAAACACTGCAGCAGATTTTTTATTAAAATCTTCTGCATACATAAAGTCAACATTACAATATATAAAGCATCACCACATCAGCCCGTTTGATTCAACAGTTTGATTCTGTGTTTACATGCCACAGTATCCTGGTTTCTCTGCAATATTGGGGATACTGAAAGCGGGATACTGCGTACACATGCACCATGACACAACAGGGACACTCCAAAAAAACCCGATCATAACCGGGACACTCATGTGCATGTATCCGCACTCAATGAAAGTTTTGGAAAAGTCATGGAATTTTAGCATCTCTTTCTCGCAACTCCAGCGTTCCGTTAAATTCTTACTAGGCTATTTGGATTATTTCCGAACATCTGCGCCTTCTGTTTAAAAGAGACGACAATAAATGCACTGACAGGATTTTGAATGTTAAAAAACTATATTCATATTTAGCCCTCAAAGTACGATCAATTTTACACATGTAGGTGCTGTAGAGTCATGGAAAATTCACTTTAATTCATGGAAAAGTCATGGAAAAGTTTTGAAATTTTGTCAGTGTAAAAGAAGCGGGAAGCCCTGACCACAGTTACCCACGTTACTCTTGTTTCTCCTCCTCCAGAGTACGGCACCATCCTCAAGGCCCTGTCCACCACAGACAAGAGGCTCCAGGGCTGTTACCTGGAGGAGCTCAGGCCCCTCCCCCCAGGACTCAGCGGGCCAATCAGGAGCCTCCGTCTGCTGCACCGGGACCGCTCTCTGTTTGTGGGACTGAGCGACCGAATGGTGAAGATCCCCCTGGAGAGGTGCTCGAGTCACCCGTCCGAGAGGTACACGAGATAAAAATACTCTATTACTCTTCGTTATAATACTCTGACGTTAAACTGCCGGTGTTTTTTTTGTTGTAGGCAGTGTGTGGAGGCGCGGGACCCGTACTGTGGCTGGGACCGACTCAAACGACGCTGCACCACCTACGAGGAGAGCTCCAACATCAACCAGTGGATACAGAACATCACAGACTGTCCTGTAAGACACACATCTGGTCCTGGACCTGGTTCAGTTCTGTTTTAGTCCTTGTTTAGTCCTGGTTTAGAGCTGCTTTAGTCCTGGTTTAGTCCTGGTTTAGTATTGTTTTAGTCCTGTTTTAGTCCTGGTTTAGTCCTAGTTTAGTCCTGGTTTAGTCCTGAGTTTAGTCCTGGTCAAGCTCTAGTTTAGCCCTAATTTAGCTCTAGTTTAGTCCTGGTTTAGTCCTTGTTTAGTCCTTGTTTAGTCCTGGTTTCGTCCTGGTTTAGACCTGATTTAGCCCTGGTTTAGTCCTGGTTTATCCCTGGTTTAGTCCTGGTTTAGTCCTGGCTTAGTCCTGATTTATTCCTGGTCTACTCCTGGTTTAGTCCTGGTTTAGTACTGGTTTAGTCCTGGTTAATCCTGGTTTAGACCTGGTTTAGTCCCGGTTTAGTCCTCGTTTAGTCCTGTTTTATTCCCCTGTTTTAGTCCTGGTTTAGTCCTAGTTTAGACCTGGTTTAGTCCTGCTTTAGTCCTGGTTTAGTCCTGGTCTAGCTCTAGTTTAGCCCTAATTTAGTTCTAGTTTAGTCCTAGTTTAGCTCTAGTTTAGACCTGGTTTAGTCCTTGTTTAGACCTGGTTTAGTCCTTGTTTAGTCCTTGTTTAGTCCTGGTTTACTCCTAGTCTAGCCTTAGTTTAGTCCTGATTTATCTCTGTTTAGTCCTGTTTAGTCCTGGTTTAGTCCTGGTTTAGTCCTGATTTATTCCTGGTTTAGTCCTGGTTTAGTCCTGGTTTAGTCTTGGTTTAATACTTTGTCAAATACAGTGGAAGAAGTTCATAATCTAATAGTTTATAATTAAAGATCCGCCTGCGTTCTTTGCACAGGTGAGGAATCTAACCCAGGACGGAGGGTTTGGCCCGTGGGCACAGTGGCAGTCCTGTTCCCATAGCGACGGGGAGGGGTCCAGCCTGTGCCTGTGCCGGTCCCGGTCCTGCGACGGTCCCTCGGCTCGGTGTGGAGGAGAGGAGTGCAAAGGGCCCACCATCCAGGTCGCCAACTGCTCCAGGTACAAACCGGCAGCGTTTATTTAAAGCTACACTGTGGAACTTTCTCAATCACCTGCGTTTGGAAGTCAGATACAAGATACGCTTTGATCAGTCAGGTTTGTGGAGTTGCAAGCTCACTCAGAATGTTTTTCAGTGCAATAAACACAACAAAAATGAAAAATTGTGCTTTTATTTTTGTTTTTTGTTGGCGAAAAAATGACATACTGTGGCTTTAATGGTTTAAACTTGTAATATTTGTATTTTTTCTTGTCTAATAGAAAATAAAAATCTGTATAATGTCAGCTTATTATCAGCGAATCAGATCAATTAAATACACTCTCTGTCCTCTTCAGCGTTGCCAGAGTCTCGTTTATTTTGTGTTTTTTTTTTTGCAGAAACGGCGGCTGGACTCCCTGGTCGTCGTGGGGACAGTGCAGCAGCAGTTGTGGCATCGGCTTCGAGGTCAGACAGAGGTCGTGTAACAACCCGTCCCCGAGACACGGTGGGCGAGTCTGCGTGGGGCAGGGGCGAGAGGAGAGGTGAGACCGGGGTTAGACCTGGACCAGACCTGGGTTAGACCTGGGTTAGACCTGGGGTTAGACCTGGTTAGACCTGGTTTAGGTTACATTTACACTGAAACCTCTCTCCCTCCTCAGGTTGTGTAATGAGCGGAGGCCCTGCCCTCTGCCTGTGTCCTGGACGTCCTGGGGTCCTTGGACCAAGTGCAGCTCGGAGTGTGGAGGAGGGGTCCACTCCCGGAGCCGGAGCTGTGAGAACGGGAGCAGCTGCCCCGGATGTGCCACGGTGAGGGGCAGACGGGTCATGTGACTTCATCTGTAATAATAATTATGTAGAAAGTCTAAAGGGGGGTTCACACCAGAGCGTCAAAGCGTCCAGTTTCCAAGTCCAAGTCTATGTGGATGCGCGTCTTCAGGCGTCAGCGTGGCGCAAATCTGGCGTCGACGCGGTGCGTCTTGAGCATTCTGGCGTCAACGCTCTAGACGTGCGTCCAGGGCGCCAGCGTCAGAAGTTGAAAATGCTGAACTGACTGAGACTAGACCGGGACTAGACCGGGACTAGACCGGGACTGATCCCGTCATATAAACACACCGCAGTTGTCGACCCGATTACCTCGCTAATGGTTTTATGTAAATAAAAACACTAAAGTCTCTCTCAGTCTGGTCTGACATTGTTTTGGAAAAAGATCGGGACTCGACACTTTTCCAGGGCAAAGGACGTGCGTCAAATATTTTTCTCCCATTCGTTCCACAGCGTCAACGCCTGTGACACACATAGAGGCGTCTAGAGCGTTTTTCAACACTCTGGTCTGAACAGGCCTTAAGGCCACGTTCAGTCTGCAGCATGAAGTGACCCAAATTAGATTTTTTCACCTCTATGCTCCTGTATCTGATCTTTTAATGACGCTATGGCCAAAAACCATATCCTTCTCCTTCTCAATCTCCTCTCTTCAATACTCGTGTCCATGTTTAGGCGACTTCTGTAAACAGCACACTCTCTGTGTGTGACGTTGTTGTGTCCAGTGCACATGTGGGACACTTTTGGGGCATTTAAAGTTCACACTGTAGACCACATACAAGTCACATTTATCACATTTATGTGAATAACCTCCCAAAAAAATTGTATTTCACAAAAAAAAAACGAATTGAGTGTTAATCCCTGCAGTCTGAACGTAGCCTGTGTCTTACAGAGCGCTTTTCCAGAACTGGCCACACTTGGTAACGTTCTGATTTAAGAATTCCCTGTATCCTCCTCCTCCTCTCTCAGGAATACCGCGCCTGTAGTCTGGAGGCGTGTCCGGAGGTGCGCAGGAACACGCCCTGGACGCCCTGGATCCCGGTGAACGTGAGTCTGGACGGGTCGCGTCTGGAGCAGAGGAGCAGGTACACGTGTCGCGCTCTGCTCCCCAAACCACAGCTGCTCCAGTCGGGAAAGAAGAAGACAGAGACTCGCTACTGCCCCAACGACGGATCAGGCGCCTGTCAGACCGATGGTGAGGGGTTTAGTAGGGATCATTATAGTTGTGGTAGAAGTATCAGTAACAGTGTACCTTTTTCTGTCTTAAAAATGTGAAAAACAGAACTGGTTCATTCTTAACTATTGTTTCCCGAAGACTAAGTTTTGATACCACAGTTCAACAAACAAAACCCTGTAATCCATTTCCTCGTGTACACTTTAATAACTTTTGATTCCGTCTCAGCTCTGGTGGAGGACCTGGTGAAGTCCAGCGGTCGGTCCCCTGTGGTTCCTCAGGGCGCTCGCTGGGGATTATGGGAAACGTGGTCCGTGTGCTCTCGCTCGTGCTCCAGAGGCTTCAGGACTCGTAAACGTCTGTGCTCCACTCCTCAGGGCAGGACCGCCCCCTCGGCCTGTGTGGGCTCCCCGGTGGAATATCAGGACTGTGCGATGCAGCCGTGTCCAGGTACTTTCACTCAAAATACTGTCTGAAACTTTTATTTTTCTTTTGCATTATCTGGACAATGATTTAAAGTGCCCATATTTCACTATTTGTGTATTATGGTCTAGTCCTGGTTTAGTCCTGGTTTTAGTTCTGGTTTAGTCCTGGGTTTAGTCCCGGTCTAGTCCTGGTTTAGTCCTGGTTGTAGTCCTGGTTTTAGTCCTGGTTTAGTCCTGGTTTTAGTCCTGGTTTAGTCCTGGCTTTAGTCCTGGTTTTAGTTCTAGTCTAGTCCTGGTTTTAATTCTGGTTTACTCATGGTTTAGTCCTGGTTTTAGTCCTGGTTTAGTCCTGGTTTAGTCCTGGCTTTAGTCCTGGTTTAGTCCTGGTTTAGTCCTGGTTTAGTCCTGGCTTTAGTCCCGGTCTAGTCCTGGTTTAGTCCTGGTTTTAGTCTTGGTTTAGTCCTGGTTTAGTCCTGGTTTTAGTCCTGGTTTAGTCCTGGCTTTAGTCCTGGTTTTAGTTCTAGTCTAGTCCTGGTATTAATTCTGGTTTACTCATGGTTTAGTCCTGCTTTTAGTCCTGGTTTAGTCCTGGTTTTAGTCCCGGTCTAGTCCTGGTTTAGTCCTGAGTTTAGTCCTGGTTTAGTCCTGAGTTTAGTCCTGGTTTTAGTCCTGGTTTTAGTTCTGTTTAGTCCTGGTTTTAATTCTGGTTTACTCATGGTTTAGTCCTGGTTTAGTCCTGGTTTTAGTCTTGGTTTTAGTCCTGGTTTTAGTTCTGTTTAGTCCTGGTTTTAATTCTGGTTTACTCATGGTTTAGTCCTGGTTTAGTCCTGGTTTAGTCCTGGTTTTAGTCCTGGTTTTAGTTCTGTTTAGTCCTGGTTTTAGTCCTGGTTTAGTCCTGATTTAGTCCTGGGTTAGTCCTGATTTAGTCCTGGTTGTAGTCCTGAGTTTAGTTTTTGTTAGTCCTGGTTTAGTCCTGAGTTTAGTCCTGGTTTTAGTCCTGGTTTTAGTTCTGTTTAGTCCTGGTTTTAGTCCTGGGTTAGTCCTTATTTAGTCCTGGGTTAGTCCTGATTTAGTCCTGGTTGTAGTCCTGGGTTTAGTTTTGGTTAGTCCTGGTTGTAGTGCTGGTTTAGTCCTGGGTTAGTCCTGATTTAGTCCTGGTTTTAGTTCTGGTTTAGAGTTTACTTCAGTCACTACTACTGTGATTACTACTACTACTACTACTACTACTACTACTACTTCTCTTGTTTGATATTCCTGGTGTGTTTCAGTGGACGGGGGGTGGTCTTGCTGGTCGGCCTGGTCTCCCTGTTCGTCTTCGTGTGGTGGGGGACACTTCCAGAGGACGAGGAGCTGTTCTGATCCTGCTCCAGCCCAGGGAGGAGACATCTGCATCGGGCTGCACACCGAGGAGGCTCTGTGTAACACCCACAGCTGCGAAGGTACAAGCCACGATCGAATAAACACACACAGATATATACTTTATTTATTTATTTATTTACTGGAATTTGGACACAATAGTGACATTTCATCTGTTGTTTTAAGGATATTTATTCTACTCCTTGGTCTAGTTTTTGTTTTGTGCTGGTTTACTTTAAAATGATTTATTTAAATAATGTGGGTGTAAGGATTCAGAGTTTAGTCCAAGCTCAGTCCTGGTTTAGTCATGGTTTAGTTCTAGGTTAGTTCTGGTCTAGCCCTGGCTTAGTACAGTTTTATCAGTCCTAGCCCAGCCCTGGTTTAATCCAAGGTCAGTACTGGTTTAGTCCTGGTTTAGTCCAATTTTAATCCTGTTTTAGTTCTACTTGTATTAGTCCTAGTGCAGTCCTGGTTTAGTCTTGGTCTAGTCCTGGTTTAGCCCTGGTTCAGTCATGGTCTTGTCCTGGTCTAATTTTGATCTAGTTTTGGTTTGGTCTTGGTTTTGTCCTGGTTTAGTTCTGATTCAGCCCTTGTTTAGCCCTGGTTTAGTCCTGGTTTAATCCTGGTTTAATCCCGGTCTAGTCCTGGTTTAACCCTAGTTTAGTCCTGGTTTAGACCTAGTTTAGCCCTAGTTTAGTCCTGGTTTAGTCCTGATTTAAAACCTGGTTTAGACCTGGTTTAGCCCTAGTTTAGTCCTAATTTAATCCTGATTTAACCCTAGTCTAGTCTTGTTTTAGTCCTAGTTTAGTCCTTGTTTAGCCCTTGTCTAGTCCTGGTTTAGTCCTGGTTTAGCCTTAGTTTAGTTCTAGTTTAGTCCTAGTTTAGCCCTAGTTTAGTCCTGGTTTAGTCCTGATTTAGTCCTGATTTAGTCCTGTTTAGTCCAATTTTAATCCTGTTTTAGTTCTACTTGTATTAGTCCTAGTGCAGTCCTGATCTAGTCTTGGTTAGTCCTGGTTTAGCCCTGGTTCAGTCATGGTCTTGTCCTGGTTAATTTTGATCTAGTTTTGGTTTGGTCTTGGTTTTGTCCTGGTTTAGTTCTGATTTAGTCCTTGTTTAGCCCTTGGTTTAGTCCTGGTTTAATCCCGGTTAGTCCTGGTTTAAACCCTAGTTTAGTCCTGGTTTAATCCCGGTTAGACCTAGTTTAACCCTAGTTTTTTAGTCCTGGTTTAGTCCTGATTTAGTCCTGGTTTAGCCCTGGTTTAGTCCTTGTTAAGAACTTGTTTTAGCCCTGGTTAAGTTCTGATTTAGTCCTCGTTTAGACCTTGATTTAGCCCTGGTTCAGTCCTTGTTTAACCCTGGTTTAGTCCTGGTTTAGCCCTGGTTTAGTCCTGGTTTAGTCCTGGTTTAGTCCTGGTTTAGCCCTTGTTTAGTCCTGGTTTAGTCCTGGTTTAGCCCTTGTTTAGTCCTGGTTTAGTCCTGGTTTAGTCCTGGTTTAGTCCTTGTTTAGTCCTGGTTTAGTCCTGGTTTAGCCCTTGTTTAGTCCTGGTTTAGTCCTGGTTCAGTCCTTGTTCTCTCTGCTGTCGTAGGTTGGCCTGAGTGGACAGATTGGGGCGACTGTGATGAAAACGGGCTCCAGTTCAGGACCAGGACCTGCGGAGACTCTGGACTCTGTCTGAACAACGTGTCTCAGTCCAGGACCTGCAAACCCCACGAGGTCCCAGGTCCGGTTTACACAATAAACAGGAGATTTTATTGTTTGTGGAGGAAATTATGGGACTTTAAAAATTACGGCCTTTGAGATTTGCTGATTGAGTCCATTCAGAGTGTGATTTTGATTTGTTCGACATTAAACCTGCCGCCCTGTAATTTTCAAAACAAAATAAAAGACACTTATATTAGTTCTGGTCAAGTTGTTTTTCTCAGTATTGATACCTGCTCAAACGATTTTTTGGTTTCTTAATGTTATTTTTCTGTTTTGTAGTGATCCTGCCTGGACAAGAAGACCAGAATTGTGGAAGTAAGTGTCTAGTTTCTAGTTTTAGTCTTAGTTTTGTCCGACTTTTACTAGTTTGAGCTTAGTCCTGGTTTAGACTTGGGTTTAGTTCTGGTTAAATCCAAGTTTAGCGTTTTGTGTTGCATTTTTTTGTATGAAAAGCGCTCTATAAATTTAAAGTCTGATTGATTGATTAGTCCTGGTTTAGTCCTGTTTTAGTCCTGGTTTAGTGCTGGTTTTAGTCTTGGTTTGGTCCTGGTTCAGTCCTGGTTTGGTCCTGGTCTAGCACTCGTTTAGTTCTGTTCTAGTTCTGTCCTAGTCCTGGTTTGGTCTTGGTCTAGTCTTAGTCTAGTCCTGGTTTAGTCCTGGTTCAGTCCTAGTTTAGTCCTGGTTTTGCCTTGGTTTAATCCTGGTTTAGTCCTGGTTTCAATCGTTTCCTGTTTAGTCTTGGTTTAGTCCTGGTTCAACCCTGGGTCAGTCCTGGTTTTAGTCTTAGTTTAACCCTGGTTTAGTCTTGGTTTAGCCCTGGTTTTAGTCCCGGTTTAGTCCCGGGTTAGTCCTGGTTCAGCCTTGGTTTAGCCTTGGTTTAGTCCTGGTTTAGTCCTGGTTTAGGCCTGATTCAGTCCTGGTTCTAGTCCTAGTTTAGCCCTGGTGTAGTCTTGGTTTAGTTCTGGTTCAGCCCTGATTTAGTCTTGGTTTAGTCCTGGTTCAGCCCTGATTTAGTCCTGGTTTAGTCCTGGTTTAGCCCTGATTCAGTCCTGGTTCTAGTCCTGGTTTTAGTTTAGTTTAACCCTGGTTTAGTCCTTGGTTTAGCCCTGGTTTTAGTCCCGGTTTAGTCCTGGTTTAGTCCTGGTTTAGTCCTGGTTTAGTCCTGGTTTGGTTTAGGCCTGATTCAGTCCTGGTTCTAGTCCTAGTTTAGCCCTGGTTAGTCTGGTTTAGTTCTGGTTCAGCCCTGTTTAGTCCTTGGTTTAGTCCTGGTTCAGCCCTGATTTAGTCCTGGTTTTAGTCCTGGTTTAGCCCCTGTTTTAGCCCTGGTTCTAGTCCTGGTTTAATCTTAGTTTAGCCCTGGTTCAGCCTTGGTTTTTGTCTTGATTTAGTTCTGGTTCAGCCCTGGTTTAGTCCTGGTTTAGCCCTGGTTTAGTCCTGGTTTTAGTCTTAGTTTAGCCCTGGTTCAGCCTTGGTTTAGACTTATTTCGTCCTGGTTTAGTCCTGGTTTAGTCCTATTTTTATCCCGCTTCATCCTCAGTTTAACCTCGGCTTTCCCTCCAGCGTACACCCTGTTCCAGTTGATCGCCGTGGGCCTGGGCAGCTTCTTCGTGGCGGCGTTGCTCTCGGCTCTGGGATACTCGTACTGTCACCACCTGAACAGGACGTCCTCTGAGTCGGCCGTGATCCACCCGAGCACGCCCAACCACCTGAACTACAACAAACCTGGCAACGCGGCGCCCAAAAACGAGAAGTACATCCCCATGGAGTTTAAGGTAATCTGGACTCAACGTTAGGCTTTAATCTGAGCTTTATTTTAACACAATTTGACCAGAAAAACCTGACTTATCTGGAACTACAACAAGTCTCTCTCAAATAAAATTACAGTCAGAACTTAGATACGTTATTGCTCTGTCTGGAATGTTCTGCAGTGTGACTTTAAACAGCTCTACTTTACATTTATTCAATTACAGGTGATTTTAAAGCTCGAAAATACCTTGAAAAACAAACATTCTGACTGTGAGCGGGTTCGCCTCTCCACAGATCTGACCTGTAACTTGGTCTGGTTTGGTCTCTGTGAAGATAGAAAGGTTTAATACCGAACTGTGGTCATTCACAGGTCATGATATTGATTCGGTTTCGATACGTTTTAAGGCACACAAAATAGAGACTGTACGTAGCTCCTCCCACATCTCCTCCTCCATCAGAGACTGTACGTAGCTCCTCCCACATCTCCTCCTCCATCAGAGACTTTACGTAGCTCCTCCCTCTCTGCCCGCTCCAGTAGAAACAGTACGTAGCTCCTCCCACTCTGCCTCCTCCATTAGAGACAGTACATGGCTCCTCCCCCTCTGCCCGCTCCAGTAGAGACTGTACATAGCTCCTCCCACACTGCCCCCTACAGTTTGTGACACACAGCGCTCTCCCATCTTCTTTCTGGACTCAAACTCTGTTCTGTTGCACAGAAATGCCACAACGGACCGCTTTCTGAGTAAAACTTAAACTGTCAACGTAAAATAAAAAGTGAGTGAAAGATCAAACCCTCCTCTGTTAGAGTATTTCAGCTGTAAGTGCCTATGGAGCTGTTTTCTGCTGCACCCGAGGAAGATGTTGCGATAACTGTTTTCCTGTCGGACCAAAATAAATGACAGAAACACAGAGGCCTGGAGGGACACGTGTATTGAACGAAAACGTGTATTGAATCGTGAGACCAGTAACGAACGACTCAATATTATGTAGAATATCATAGTATCCCTAATACACACACACATATAGGCGAGTTTCATTGTTGACAAAACCGCGCGTTGCATGCTGGGAATTATTTTGGTCGGTGGCAAGAAACACTAATTCAACATGACGGACGGAGCGAGAAAGAACGTAAAGGGTATTGATCCCGGTTATTTATCCACTCTAACGGCAGAGGACCCAAGACCATTTGACCAGAAATTGGTCATAAACATCGACGGACTACAAATCACCCTTTTCAACCCCTGACAGAGGCTGGACCAAACCAAATTTCTGGTCAGAATCACCAACTACCTGGACAAATATTCACTTGGTCGATATCCACAATGACTTGGTGGAAACTCCTGGGCCATTCACAGCAGAAAAGATGAAAACCTCCAAGAGTCTCGATGTGTTGTTGAACTTGTTGGAGTCAACGGTTTGTTAGGATCTTCTACGTTTGCTCTGCGGATGTTTGAAAGTCGTTTAATTCACCGTTAGCGGTTCTTTTCACTCAGAATACGAAAAAAGACATTTTCCTTCTTCCGTGCTTCTATTTGTGCATCCAGCAGGAATTTACCATTATCAGGGATAAATACGCGAGGTTACGCACTGTGTTTGACGCTATCGTGTTTCTTGCCTCCGACCAAAATATTTCCCAGCAGCAACGCGGGCTTTTAATAACAATGACGTCAGCTCAAACTCGCCTATACATACACACATAATATATACATACATACATACATAAATATACTATATATAAAATTATATAAAATTATACAAATTATTAATTATTATATTTATATATATATATATATATGTATAAAAAATAAATAATACGGAGGCAGTCGGGTTACACATTCATACATTTTGTCCAAGAGCACAAGTTTTCAGGATTTCAGTCATTTTTTGGCTCGTACTGTGAAATATTCCAGCCAAAGCAATAACATAATAACAGCTTTAACGATTCTAAACTGTATTTTCTCTTTCTTCTTTCAGACGCTGAATAAAAACAATCTCCACGTGAACGAAGAGACGTGTAATCACTTCTCCACGGCCCTGGGTCCTTCAAACATGTTCACCACCACGTACTACCCCCCAGGCCTGAGCAAATACGACTACCACCACCAGGAGGCAGCGTGCCGGACTTTCAACATGCACAGCTGAGGAAAAACGCGTCTTTAAACACGTTCTGGAGCAGTTTTTTTGGAGCGGTTCATGTTACATTTTTGATGTTTTGAGGCGTCCCACGGAGCTGGTCAAACTGTGACGCCTGCTACGGTTGTGTTCGATCCAAAAAACTCTTCCTGTACCTGATTTTCACAGACTTAAAAACCTGAAAAACGAAACTAGATCATTTGAAACGGTTTGCGGTTTGTCCAAAGTTCTTCCTCAGTTTCTTTAGTCATTCGGAGCGTCCTAAATATTCATCACGATGAGTTTACGAGCACTTTTTTGTCGAGTTTTGCCGTCGCGGAAAAGCTTACAACAACTAGCATGCCAACAGTGCACTTCCTGTTTCTGGGACAATTAAAACTGTAGACGCAAAGAGAACACGACAGACTTATTTTGACCTCAAGAGCTGCTTATAAATTTTGCTCAAGCACAGAAAAAATCGGGTACAGCCCCTTGAAAATTTGGCGAAACGTGTAATTTTTTAAAGGTGCACTGTGTAACTTTTGTGAAGATGGTTCGCAGCCTGCTCGTCTCCATGGAGATGTTAAAGCTTTGGTTTAAATTGCCCAGAGTACGGCATTAAACTGATCTGTCTTGCATTTATTCAACTGCAGGTGTTACCGTATTTTTCAGACTATAAGGCTCACTTAAAATCTTTAAATTTTCTCAAAAATCGACAGTGTGGCTTATGTATTGATTCTGGTTGTATTTACTGACTTTGAACTGATTTTATGTGGTACACAGCGCTCAAAAATCTGTCAAAATGTTTTAGTGCGACTTTGGTAAGTTACGAAGCCGCACCACTTGATGGATTGTCGGAGAATTACAGCATTACCATAGTCTCGCAGAGTAACACTGCAGATCTTTTTTTTTTTATTGAATGTGTTAAAACCCTGTGCCAAGGCCAAAACAAAAAGAAGGAGGCCACAGGTTGGATTTTAAAATAAACTTAACTTTAAAATAAAACTAAATCACAAACAAAACACGCACAGTTTCTGCCTTTTGCTTTTGCACGACTCTTTATTTTTGTCTTGTGATACAAAGGCAGAGAACAGGAACTGACAAATAAGAGTCAAAGGGACATGTTGAGCTCAATATTTTTCACAATATTTTTATTAAAACCATAAAGGAGGTCTTAAATACAAGAAAAACCAAAACTTTTTGACCAAACAATGTTACGGCGTTCTGTTTTTGTAGGGCACAATGACATTAAACTGATTTGTCTTAGATTTGTGTTATTTACTGCTCAAAAATATCTTAAAAAAAACATTCTTACTGTACAAAATGAACCTGTAATTTGGCTTCTGTAATTTTGGAACATTCTAGGTACATCTCCATGGAGACAAGCAGATGACAAGTTACACAGTGCAGCTTTAAATTCAAACTGTGATCACCTTTTTTTAAGATGAAAACTCAAAAAAAAAAGAAATGTTTGGACTCATTTCTATTGGACTATTTGGACTTTACTCTACAATCTTTTTACAATACTCAATTTTTGGAGCCGATGATTCAGATTTCAAGTCTTTAATTTGGATTTTAAGAACATTTTTAAGACAATAATGGACATACTGGATGCCATTTTTATTTCATCACAAGATCATCGTCAATCCTCATCAACCGAGTTTCGTATTTTAATGAGAATTTACTGAACGAAAATGAAAACATGTACGACTGTTGTCAGATTTGACCCACACCTCTGCATTTTAAACTTTTCACGTGGACAAAATACAACTTTACAGACAGTTTTTTGAGTAATTTTTGAAAATATATCTGCTTTTCCAATGGATCTTGTTGCTATGACTGAAAAAAAACACTTTACTTTTGAGGACCAACTTGGAAAACATGAAGATTTTGACATTTTAAAGACAATAAAATAAAAATATAACTCCAATACATCAACTATGGACAAAAAACGTTTAATATTTTGGAGAAATATAGCACTTATTTTTGGACAAGAAGAAAACCAACGGAACTTGTCAATCGTTTTGGGAGATTTTGGATTTTAAAAGGTCTTATATTACGCAAAATTGACTCTTGTGAGCTTTAAGTCGTGTTCTAATGTTGTTACCTCCTCAAAAACAGACCTGGACTTGTTGAGTTTTTGACGTTAACGGCTCCTTTTACTTTTAGTTCAGTAGAGACCAGTGTTTTTCAGTTTGCAGATTTAGACGGAGTTCTTCTCTCAGAGTTTTTTGTGTGTTAAACATGTGTGAATGAAACAAAACACAACTCCAGGTTTGTTTGCGACGAGGAAACTACAGGGACGGGACAAGATCTCGTGCCACAAATGAGGAAAATTATCTTGTGAGTTTTTTTCCCTCTGAATTTACCTTTGGCTTGTACAAAAAAAGAGTTAAGAGCTGGTATCTGAGAAGCTGTAGTTTCAAAAAGAAGTGCTACAATAGAGCTTTTTCAATATGACCGGAAGTGCCGTGATGTAGGTTTGCAGAACTTCAGATTAATGGTTTTCTGTGGCGAAATATCTGTTTAAATGTCCTTCGTATTTTCCAGTAGCTTCATAAATCTGCCCCATCACCAAATCTTCAACCAATAAGGTCCATAAAGGATAAACATTCTTCATGAAGAATTTATCCACAACTATCAAGAGAAGAAAGAACAAAACTTAAAGGAAACAACGACACATTAGAGACACACTGAACAAAACTAATGTTATGATCATGAATAAAACAGAAGTAACTTGTTCACTCAGACTGATTCTAGAATTAAAATTAAAAATCGATTTCTTGATGTCAGTATTGGCATAGATAGAGAGATTTGTGCAGTTTAAATGCTACAGATGTTCACAGATCACATGTCTGGGTTTTAAACTGCACAAATGTCTCTGTCTATAGCAGGTATGTCCAAACTATGGCCCGTGGGCAAAGTGTGGCCCTCAGACAAATTTTTCTTGACCCTCAGGCTTCTAGGAGAATTGGCCCAAATGACCTTGCATCGATGGAAAATTAACTTTTTATTGCAAGTTTTTTGAAAATCTGCCTTGAAAAAGCCAGTGTTTAATATTTAGTGTTTGGTTTTGAGGATCTTAGCATAAGTAAAGGAGTGACGGCTCATTCTCACGTGTTAAACATGCACATATTTCAATTATTCACTGTTTTTAGCACCAGTCAGTGGCCCTTGATCAGCCTTCTGCTTCGTTGTGTTTAGAAATGTGGCCCTTGATGAAAAAAGTTTGGACACTCCTGGTCTATAGTAATATCTACTAGTCAGTCTGGCGCCCCCTAGTGCCTCCGCTCAGTTTAATTTCTCTCCAACAACTAGGTCAGAAATCAGAATTTACAAAAACTGGTGCAAGTTCCGGCACCAGCCAATCAGCAAAGAGCCAGACATTCTGTGTTGTCAACGATTCCCTAGATCGAGGATTTAAAGCCGGAAGAAAGAGAATGTTTGGTGAATTTTATCAAGGGGAAAGACGTTATTGCCCTTCTTCCTATGGGATTTGGGAAAAGCTTAATATACCAGTTTACCCTTCGTCACGACCAAAACAGCAGCAATTGGTTAAATTTAAAAAGTACCCGCCTACAGTCGAGCGAATGAATCCTAATGCTGCGAGGTCACGCGGTTTCTACGAAGTGAAACCGGCCGATGAATCTAAATATCTGCATCATGAAATCAATTTTTTATTTTAATTGTAGAATCAGTCTGAGTGAACAAGTTCCTTCCGTTTTATTCATGACCATAACATTAGTTTTGTTCAGTGTCGTCGTCGTTTCCTTTAAGTTTTGGACTTTCTTCTCTCGATAGTTGTGGATAAATTCTTTATGTTAGAATGTTTATCCTTTGTGGACCTTGTTGGTTGAAGATTTGGTGATTTATGAAGCTGTTGGAGAATACGACACACATTTACACACACTTTTTGACACAGAAAACCATTAACCGGAAGTTACGTTCACCCGGCATCGTGGCACTTCCGGCTGTCGTGAAAAAGTTCTATGATGAATATTAAATTAAGTAATTGAAGCCAACATTGTGAAATTGATTGCTCTACTTATTTATTACAAATTCTGTCAAAATCTCATCTCGTCTCGTGAAAATGATCTCATCCCAGCCCTTGAAAACAACATTATAACACCGATCCGATCAGCGTAATATTTGCCCTTTAAAATGCTTCAACTCTACTGAATTGTAAATAAGCATATGAACTTTTTTGTAATTTCCTTGCTTTTTCAAATGCTTCTCTGTGTCAAATCTTGGTTCATTTATTCCTAAAATTAATCTTCCTGTTTTGCAGATTTGAAAGTATGAATTTCATTATAAAAAAATCATCGCTGGTTGAGGTAGAGTAGATCAGCCATGAGAAGAAAAAAAAAAAAAAGGTAAAAATACACAAACATACTCTTACCATAATCACAAACATCGTATTTATTGAGGTTTAATAAAGTAAAAAAAATGTGTAAATACGTTTTATTTAAATAATATCAGACGCAGAAATGTAGCGTAATCCAGTGTTTTTAAAAAAATGTGAATTCGTTGCATTGAGTTGTGAAAAATATCGAAAATTTGACATTTAGATACTCATTTTTCACAGGTATCGATACTAAAAAAGTCCAAATGAAGCTTTCCGGAATAGTTTTAGAATGATCTTAGAGCACATGGACTAGTATACGCTCATGGACCTGGTTTAGACCTGGTTTAGACCTGGTTTAGACCTGGATCACAGAGGGATTACACAGATATAAGACCACATGGGAATAGAAAAGAAATTACAACCATTTAACTTAAAAAATCACAGGATATTGTCTAAAGAAAGAGTTTTTTTTTATCAGGATCTGTCGCTTCCGTCGTATCGAAATCGAGTTTGTTTGAAATGTTAATATCGTGAAACACTTTTCTCAAACTGTGATTATAAAACATATGTACAGATACAGATATATATTGTATTTCACTGATGTTTTTATCTGGTGCTACTTGGTGCTACGTACGTGATTTTAACTCTGCTGTACCGATGTAATAGTGGAGCTGTTAAGGACCAA